TACTGCTCGGTACTCAGTACCGCTCTGTGCTCGGTATCGCTTGGTACTGCTCAGTACCACTCGATACTACTCGGTACTACTCGGTATGCTCGATACCGGAACTCGGTATCGCTCGGTACTGCTCGGTATAGAGGGATACCTATCGGAACTCGGTATCGCTCGGTACTGCTCGGTATAGAGGGATACCGAATGGTACCAAGCAGTACTGAGAAGGAAGAGAACTTTAAAATAAGTCTTATAATAAAATTTTGTTCCGGGGGCGCTGCCCCCTTGGACCCCTGGCAGAGGCACAACATATCTACACTTTTAATTAAAAATTTTCATGTTTCAAATTCATGTTGATTAATTTGTGTCGATCTTTCGTAGGATAATGAGCTCTAGTGGTGTGGGAATTGAGTCTACTGATTGTCCATTAGAGACAATTATTGAAGATAACAAACCTCTGTGGGGTTATGTGACCAAAATAGGTAAAACATCAGAAGGGGGTGGCAATATTGCTTTCAAATGCAATTTTTGTAATGCCACATACAAATGATCATATTATAGAGTGAAAGCTCATTTGTTAAAGATTAGTGGTCATGGAATTAAACTATGCTCGAGTATAAGCTCATCACAAATGGCTGAATTGCAAAGAAAAATCAGTGAAGCTGGGAAAATGAGTAAAAAAGAGCTTCCAAAACATATTCCACTTCCAAGCACTCATACTTCATATCCTTCATCATATTCTTCAATTAAAAGTGATGACAATACTGTTAATAAGGGGCCTTTTCGGATGGAGGGATTTGAATAAAAAAGAAGAAAACATGTTGTAGATAGTGCTTTGAAGAAAGCATTTAATTTACAAATGAGAGAACAACTAGATGGGGAAATAGCTAGAATGTTTTACTCAGCTGGACTTCCTTTTAACCTAGCAAGAAATCCACATTACAAGAATGCATTTACCTATGCATGCAATAATAATCTTGCAGGATATGTGCCACATGGATATAATATCATTAGAACGAAGTTGTTGCAAAGAGAGAGGGATAATATTGAGAAGTTGTTCAAGCATACTAGAGGAGTTTGGAAGGAAAAATGAGTTACTTTGGTTTGTGATGGGTGGATATATCCACAAAGAAGACCACTTATCAACTTCATGGCTATAACAGAGAGTTATCCTATGTTTATCAAAGCTCTAAATTGTGAAGGACAGTATAAGGATAAGTTCTTCATTTCTAATTTAATCAAAGAAGTTATCATGATGGTGGGGCCTTCAAACATCATCCAGGTCATTATTGATAATGCACTTGTTTGTAGAGCTGCAGGTCTACTTGTAGAGCAAGCCTATCCTCATATTTTTTGGACACCCTGTGTTGTGCATACGCTTAATCTTGCTTTGAAGAATATTTGTACAGCTAAGAATATCGAGGCAAATGAAATCACATACAATGAATGTCTTTGGATAATAGTGATTGCTGGAGATGCAGTTATAATTAGGAATTTTATTATGAAACACTCTTTGAGACTCTCTATATTAAATGATTTCTCTAATTTGAAGATGCTTGCAGTTGCTGAAACTCGGTTTGCCTTGGTTATAGTGATGTTGAGAAAATTCAAAAAAATAAAAAAATGCTCTTCAAGCTATGGTGATCAGTGACAAATGATCCTGTTATAGGGAAGATGATGTTGGAAAGGCTAGATATGTAAAGGAGAAGCTTTTAAATGATTTATGGTGGGATGAGATTGAATACATCATAATTTTCACATATCCAATTTATGAGATGTTGAGAGTAGCTGATACGGATAAGTCTTGTTTACATCTGATCTATGAAATGTGGGATTCAATGCTTGCCAAAGTAAAAGAAATTATATATAGACATGAGAGGAAGGCATTTCATGAAGACTCAAACTTCTAGGATGTTGTTTATACTATTTTAGAAGATAGGTGGAGCAAAATCAATACACCTTTACATTGCTTGGCTCACTTACTAAATCCCAGGTAAATTTCAACATTTTTCATTATTAATTCATAATTTGTTGTTTAATAATTTCAACATTTTTTCATTATTTCATTTTAATATTTTTTGAAGATATTCAACTAAAGAATGGCTTCAAGAGGATCCTTAAAGAGTTTCTCCACAAAAAGATTTAGAAATTTCAATTATGAGGAAGACATGTTTGAAGCGTTATTTTCCAAATGTGGAGGAGAGAAGAAGTGTCAATATTGAATTTGCTAAATTTTTTGGTTATTTAGAAGACTTTGGTGACCAAGAGTCATTACGTGATAGGTGGAGAATTGATTCGAAAATGTGGTGGATTATACATGGAGCTTCAGCACCTCTACTTCAAACAATTGCCATAAAATTGCTTGGCCAAGTTTCATCCTCATCTTGTTGTGAAAGAAATTGGAGCACATACTCGTTCATCCAATCAATGAAGAGAAATAAAATTACTCCACAACGGGCTAAAGATTTAGTTTATGTGCATACAAACCTTCAGCTTCTCTCAAGGAAAACTCCAACTTATATGGAAGGAGACAACAGGATGTGGGATGTTGTTGGAGATGGATTTGAATCTCTTGAGGATATGAGAATATTAGAAATTGCTAATCTTTCACTTGATGAGCCTGAATTAGAAGCTATGATATTTATTGAAGATGATATAGAAATTCAAAGACAAACCACTGAAGAAGCTAATCCTATCATTCATTCTATTGAATAGTTGAAATTTTATGTGCTGGACAATTTATCTTCTTGTTTTTGTTGTTGTATTAGACATTTAAATATTTAATGCTTACTTTTATTTCAATTTTTTTTGTCATTTCAAATATTACACTTTGACAACTTTCTTAATTTTTATGTATTATTTTTATATTATAATGTCATATCCGCGCCGTATCCGTATCCTTTATTTTTAAGAATTGACATGTCCCGTATCCATATCGTGTCGTATTCGTATCGTCGTATCCGTATCGGTGCAACATAGGATAGGAGTAGTAAGGATTTAGTTCAAGTGAAATGTATTAAGGATGAAGATTAAAAAATATTTTTTCCTAGAAGATGATATTCAACAAAGGTGAATGAGATATTTTCCTAAACCTTTTAATGGGGTGTGGGTATGCTTAGGAGATGAAGGAATTTCTTGACTAACTAAACTTTTTAATACTATTTTGAAGACTAAAAAGATGCTAGATGAGTGGAGAATGAGTGTGTTAATTCATATTTTTAAGAATAAAGATGATGCACAAGATTGTGCGAATTATAGATGAATTAAGTTAATGTGTCATACTTTAAAACTATGGGAGCGAGTTTTGGAGCATAGGTTGCGGCGTGATACTAATGTTTCTCAAAATCAATTTGGATTCATGCCGGGTAGGTCGACTATTGAAGCCATACATTTATTAAGAGGTTTGATGGAGAAATATAGAGAAAATAAGGAGGATCTACATATAATATTTATTGATTTAGAAAAGCATATGATAAAGTTCCAAGAGAAGTGGTATGGAGCGTTCTTGAAAAGAAAGGAGTTAATAACGCTTATATTCAAATCATTAAAGATATGTATGCAGGAGCTATTACTTGTGTTCAAACACAAGGAGGTTTGACCAAGTATTTCCCTATTTCAGTTGGGTTACATAAAGGATCAACCTTAAGCCCATATCTTTTTGCTTTAGTCATGGATGTTCTCACTAGACATTTGCAAGAGGATATACCTTGGTGTATGCTTTTTGCTGATGATATTCTTCTTGTTGATAAGACTAGAGAGGGACTTGAAGATAAACTTGAATTATGGAGGTCAACCTTAGAGTCTAAAGGTTTTCGCTTGAGTAGATCTAAAACGGAATATATGAAATGTAATTTTAGTGAGAATAGACCTAGTGAGGGGATTGTGACTTTGGGTGATCAAGTCATTAATAAGAGTACACGTTTTAGATATCTTGGATCTATTGTTCAGAATGATGATGAAATAGATGGGGATATTATCAGCAGAATTAAAGTTAGATGGTTGAAGTGGAGTAATGCATCGGACTTGTTGTGTGATAGAAAAGTACCCCTCAAACTTAAGGGGAAATTCTATAAGATGGTGGTGAGGCCTGCAATGCTTTATGGTGCCGAATGCTGGCCATTAAAAGAGAAGCATAATACTAAGTTAAGTGTGGCAGAGATGAGGATGCTCAGGTGGATGAGTGGCTTTACCCTTAGAGATAGGAGACGAAATGAGCATATACTTGAAAAGGTTGGAGTAGCTCCAGTAGAAGATAAGATTAGAGAGAGTCGCCTTAGATAGTTTGGTCACATAAAACGGCGGCCTTTCGATGACCCGGTTAGGAGAGTAGTGGTTTTAGATTTGTCTTATGTTAAGAAAGGTGAAGGCAGACCTAAAAAGACTTGGTTAGAAAATATTAGGAATGACCTTTCTTTATTAGATTTAAACGAGAATTTGACTTTTAATAGGACATAATGAAGAAAAATGATTCATGTTGCCGACCCCACGTAGTGGGATAAAGGCTTGATGTTGTTGTTGTTGTTGTTGGTTGTGACTGGGATAGAAATACTTTAACTTATTTTGTTTCATAAAATGCTGCTACTAACAAATGCGAATTTTGATGTGCAATAAACATAGGGGTTGCAGTAGCTGCCACATTTTATATCATTCTGTGATCTTGTGATTGGCAATACAGACTTATACAATGAAGTGAACTCATTAAAAATGCTATTAGTTCATGAAAATTTGAGTAGATACTCTGATTTTATAAAATTTATGATGATATTTTGTAAGGTAGGCATGAATCTTTAAACCTTAGAATGGCTGATGGAAGTTATTACTAATGATGACTATTTGAGCTTTCAGGAATCTCTGAGTGCTTTCCGAGACTTTAAACTCAAGCAGATGTGATAGGATTTTGTGCTCCATTTTTTTTCCTGGAGTTATTTTTCTCTCTTATTTGTTGCGTATTACGATTTCAGAAGGCATTGGTTATCCTTTGCATTGTTAATACATTTATAAAATCTAATGATTAGGTACAATATGCTCAACTTGGTTGATCACTTCCATAGGCGTGGTCTATACCGTTCAATTTTCCTCAGGTATTCATTTTCTTATTTTACAGGATGCTCTCACTGGTCTCTTTTGAAATTTGGACTTATTTTGTAGATCTTTTAACCTATTGAATTTCTCCACTGTAGCATAATGGAAGGGGAGCAATCCTTGAGACACTTTTCTCCTGAAATTGTTGTGAGAAACTTGAGCGCAAGATTTGGTGTTCCTCCGCTTCCTCCCATGATACTTTATCATGGAACAGGGGATTATTCCATACCATCAGATGCTAGGTTTGCTCCACGTGTATTTTAAGAAAAAAATTAATATGGCTTTATAACATTTCATTCTCTTCACTCAAGGTTATAATATAAGGTAGCAGGTGACGAGCTGTGATTATGAAATTTCTGTATATATGTTGAATTGATCATAGAAAAGATCTTTAAACTAAAGAACCAAAGTGACTTCTCTAAATTTTTTAATATGAATTCAAATTTAGAGTATTTTATTTTATCTTGAATGTTGGAGCAAAATTTAGTATTTCATATTAATAAGAATCAAAATTGTGGTGGAACTTTCTGCATAGTCAAGATTACTTAGGCCCTGCTTAGACCTTGTATCGTTAGGAGCATAAAGCACTGGGCAGGACATACCAATAAGAAAATCTGTGAGTTTGATTTAATTTTCTCTTTCTTGTTAAAATTCTTGACATTCTTTCCCTTTCTATTGTACAAAAACTTAATATGTTAAGTAGCAATAAGTTTATTACCGAAAACTTCTGAGATAATCATCCATACACCTAGAAGCCTAACTGCATTAACATGTTCTGAAGGTGGTCTGCCTTTTAGGCCTGTATGAAACTTAAAATGTGAATTTATTTGAAAATCAAGCAAGCATACCTGTCTGTAAGCCAGAGCATTGTGCACCACCTAAAAAATTCATTTCCTTTCTCTAACCGTTTATTTCATGAATTAAAATTATTTCTATGCATTTCTGAGCTTCTCATCTATGATACCCCATATGTTTGAAATTCATCAATTGCAATTAATGTGGGTACATTTTTAGGAGAGTTTTAACGAAAACGTTTTGGGTCAAATTTTAGATGGCAGATTAGAGGTTCTAGGTTTCTCTTAGGTGCAAGTCCCTATGGTTAAGTATCCCTCCTGGTATCAAGAGAAACTTTCGATTAATGCCAGTTAGAAAAACACTAATTACCGAGCATATAGTGAGAGCAATTTTTTATTTTAAGATTTGGTATTGGGATTTGAAATTTACTACATTATACTTAAAGTTGGTGGTAAGGGCATAAGGATTTGAAATTTAAGAGCAAGATCTCATAGTTGCATCATTTTGCGTTATCATGATTTCTTGCTTACTTGGCTAGAGGAGGTAGTCAGCTCAACCTGACTGAAAGATTCTTGTTGGCAGTCATAAGTTGTTTTGCCCCATGGTACTTTGTAGACAGGATGGATGCTTGCCTTAAGGGACATATTTAAGTTAGCCTTAGCTACCAAAGGGTTTTGTCACTATCAATTATACCTTATGATTCATTTCTAAAAGATTTTGAGCCACTAGGTAATATACGGGCTTTAACCATGATCATAATTTAATGATGTTATTTGGTTGACCATCAAGTCCGAGGGCCCCGGTCATGACCGTTTATTTGTAGTACCATTTAGCTGTAAAAATTGTCGATTAGAGGATATGTGTCACGTCCTTACTAGAGAGATATCATTTGAGAATGAATCATAACGATACACTGGACATGACATTCCTTCTTTTGTGAGCCTAAAATATTATCAAATTTATCACTCTAAAAACACTGTTGGTATAGTGGATGGAATTTTTTTTTGAGTATTATTGGCAATCGGTTTCACTTGAATAATTTGAATTTTATGAATTTTCTCATATCCTTACATTTCCCTGAATTTGTGCCGAAAATAATTTATACAAGAATCTGAGGGTTCTCTGGTTGAAAGTCACTGTCAATACAATTTTCATTGAGGCTTTCAGACAATTTTATTTTATTATTTGAATTCTTTTGGTAATTTATATAATATATTATATATTAAGGAGGCAAAAAAATGTATGTATAAGTTAATCAAACAAAGAACTATGAAAAGTAAAAGATTTAGTTCAAGTGAGTGCACTAAGGATGAATATAAAAATTGTTTTCTTAGAAGATAGATATTCTACAAATCTGGATGCGATATTTTGATAAGTTTTTCATAAAAATTGTGAGAATATGATTGAGTTTAATGACCTTAGCACCCTAAATGAAAATAAATTTTTTTATTTTTGTTGTCATATTAGCAAAACTGAAGTTGGAGAGGCTCTAAAAAATGAAGTTTTGAAAAGCAATGAGACCTGATAATATTTTAATAGAGGTGTGAAAATGCTTCGTATATGAAGGGGTTTATTGGCTTAATAAAATTTTTAATATTATTTTGAAGACAAAAAAGATGTCAGATGAGTGGAGTGTATTGGTTTTTATTTTAAGAATAAAGGCGATGCACAAGAGTGTGCAAGTTATAGATGAATTAAGTTAATGGGTCATATATTAAAATTATGTGAGAGGAATTGAGAATAGGTTACGACGTGATATTTATGTTTCTCAAAATCCATTTGGGTAAGTCTATTATGGAAGATATACATTTGTTGAGAAGTTTGATGGAGAAGTATAGAGAGAGTGAGGAGGATATATATGTGATATTTATTGATTTAGAAAAAGCATATGAGAAAGTTCAACGAGAAGTACTATGGAGAGATCTAAAAAAGATAGAAGTTAATAATGTATAATCAAGTCATTAAGAATATATATGAAGGAGCTATTATTTGTATTCAAACAAAAGGTGGTTTAACTAAGTATTTTCTTATTTCAATTGGATTACATCAATGATTACCTTTAAGCCTATATCTTTTTTGCTTTAGTCATAGATGTTCTTATTAGACATTTGCAAGAGGATTTACCCTGATGTATATTTTTGCTGATGATATTCTTCTTGTTGATAAGAGTGGAGAGGGAGTTAAAGGAAAATTTGAATTATGGAGGTTAACCTTTGAGTCTAAATGCTTTCATTTGAGTAGATCTAAAATTGAATACATGAAGTTTAATTATCTAGTAATAGTTCTAATCATGAGCTTGTGACTTTGGGTGATTAAGTCATTAAAAAGAGTGCATGTTATAGATACCTCAGGTCGATTATTCAAAGCGAAGTAAAATAGATGGGATATTATTAGTAGAATTCTTCTTGGATGGTTGAAGTGGAGTGATTCATCGGGCCTCTTGTGTGATTAACCTTAACGGAAAATTTTATAAGATGATGGTTAATACTTGTGAGTTTGCAATGTAAAATGAATTTTGTTTAGATGTCAAAGGTAGTCCTAAAATACCTGATTAGAAAGTATTATAAATGACCTTAGTTTATTATATTTAAATGAGAATTTGACTCTTAATAAAACACAATGGAGAAAAAGGATTCATTTAGTCGATCCCACATAGTGAGATAAATGTTTTGATGATCTTGTATTTGAATCATGTCAACTTTGCCTACCTGTCAATAGTCAAAATCCAGCATAAAACTTCTCAAATAATCATGGCATAAATCCTTTAATACATTGTGCTAATGTTAGGACGTTCCCGAAAACCGACGTGCTGTATGACTTGAATACAATGAGAAGTGTGCAAGGGTCGCTGCATCGGTGCCTAGATGTAGTGTTAAATAGGTATGGATTCCCACATCATTCACGAATGTGAGAAAAGAAGCTAGTCTATGAAACTAAAATTAGGTTAGGAACTGGGATTGTAGGTTCTGTTATAAGTAAATTATCGGAATTAGTTGATATTATGATTCATAGGAAGATAAATATTCTATGCATTCAAAAAACTAAATGTGTGGGAGAGAAGACTAAGGAGATTGATAGTTTAGGGTTTAAACTTTGATATTCTAGTATGAGCCATACTATAAATGGTGTAGGTGTGATTATATATAAGAATTTGAAAGATAATTATATAAAAATTGATATAATTAGATATAAAATTATAGTTTTCAAGATTATTATTGATTGTAAGATTATTAATATTGTAAGTGCTTATATTCCTTTAGTAGGTTTGGATATATATTCAGAATTAAAATTTTGGAATAACTTAGAGGAATTAATGTAAAAGATATATTTTGAAGAAAGAGTTTTTATTGGTAGAGATTTAAGTGGACATATTGGTAGAAAAGTATAGGATTTTAAAAGAATTCATAGTGGCTATGTATTTGGAGCGACTAATAAAGGTGGTCAGACTATATTAGATTTTGCTCTAGCTTACGATTTTGTAATTGCTAATGCATTTTTTAAGAAAAAAGATGAGCATTTCATCACTTAAAAGAATGGATATAATAAAACTTAGATTGATTATTTTCTTCTATGAAAAATAGATTGTTTAGATTGCAATGATTATAAAGTTATTCCAAGTGAAAATCTTTTTATCCAGTATCGCTTATTAGTTTTGAAGGGGCAAAATATGAAAAATATAGTAAATCGTTATTCTAGGATTAGATGGTGACATTTAAAGAACTCTAACAAAAATATATTTCAGAGTAAGATTCACGATTTTAAGATTTTCTCGGTGCATGAGGAAGCTAATGTTATATAAGAAATAGTAGATTGTAATATTAAGAATGTCGCAAAGGATGTGCTTTGAGTATTAGAAGGAAAAGCTTATAATAATAAAATAATTAGTGATGGAATCAAAATATGCAAGAAAACATAAAAAAATAAGAAGCTCTGTTATTAAAATTGATTTAGATCTAAAGACTTTGAAAATTTAGAAATATATAAAGATGCTTGTTTAGAATTTAAGAAAGCAATCTGCGATGCAAAGTCTTTAATTTTTAATGATTTATATAATAGATTTTATACTAAAGAGTGCGAAAGATATATGTATAAGCTAGCTAAACAAAGAGATTAGAGTAGTAAGGATTTACTTTAACTGAAGTGCATTAAAGATGAATATCAAAATGTACTTTTTTTAGAAGAGGATATTCAATAATGGTGGATGAGATATTTTGCTAAGCTTTCAATATAGATTAGATTGTGAAAATACTATTGACTTTAGTAACCTTAGCACTTTAAATGAATAATGAGATTTTTATTTTTTTCGGCATATTAATAAAATTGAAATTAGAGGGGCTTTAAGGAAAATGAAGTGTGGAAAATTATTAAACCTGCTGATATTCCAATAGAGGCGTGTTAGAGGGGCTTTAAATAAAATGAAGTGTGAAAAATTATTGAACCTGCTGAT